TGGTTCTGCTCCCCACCATTCCACTCTCAAGCTCCAGCTGTGGGCCACACCCCTCTGAGACACACATGGTGGCCGAGGGACGCGTTGTCATTGCTGAGCTGTCCTCTCCCTTCCACCCCGGGACACTCAGCAGATTGGTTTTTCCCCTTCTTAGATTGTTGCCCAAAGGGTTGACCCTTCAATCCATATGTAAAGTGGGCACTCAAGAGAACGTGGGCTCCCCAAATCCACTTATATCAGCTTCAAAATTGGACTTTTAGTAGCATTGCATTTCATTAATGATGATGCTACCATGATTCACTCTTTTAATTGGCATTTCACTTAGTCACTGATGGATCTTCAAACTCTATTACCTAGAACCTCCAAACTGGGTAAGCTGGTTCTGTTTCAGACAGAATTGGGCTTATTTATTCCTTCTTGGTCTAGAAATCATGCTTATATGTGCCAGTTAATTATCTTTATATGTGCATTTTATATCACAGAGCATGGAAGTTTGGGGGAAAGAATTTTTTTTTTTAGCATTGCAGAGTATTCAGGACAGTTTAAACAAACTTAATTAAAAGTCTAATTTTTTTCTCCAGGCATAAATTGTCTGCTGACATAGCCAGGCCAGTCTCCCTACATGGAAATTCTCCCACAGTTCTTAAACCTCACATTTACCAGCCTGTGCCACATAACCTTGGGAATGGCCAGTCACTGCCCTTTATCTCTACAGGTGCACTGACTGCTAAAGCAACCACTAAGTTTGCAGATTTCCAGATTCTTCCCTCCTACATGTTTTCTGCTAAAGAGTAAAAAATGTGGAAAAGCTTAATTTTATTTAGTTCTTGAATAAGAACTAGAAAGGAAATCATTGTAGCCACATGTCCTTTGTGTATGTGGAAAACCTCCACATTAAAGCCATGTCTAAGAACACTTAAAAATGTCCTCAAATTCATTTCTGAGTAGCTTCCTTATGCAGTTCAGAAATTAGTTTCAACACTTACCATTATCATGTCTCCAAATGGTATGCCTCTTTCAGTGTCAGGCTCATATTCAATAAAGCCCTCTTGTTTGGGCATGAGCATCTTTTGAAACTTTAGCAATGATGTTACTTTTGAGCTACGGTCTGAGATATTGGGTTATTTCCTTCTTCCCTTCATCGGAGATAGTCTTGGGAACACCTGAGTGCTTGAAGGCAGTGTTCCTGGCTTCTCAGTTACACAGGGGAAGCCTTCAAGGTAATGGTCTCTCACTCTTCTCAGGTTCTTCTCAGAAAAGTTCAGAAGGCAGGTCCTATCACATGAGCAGTAGCAGCTCACAGGTGTGTGTGTGTGTGTGTGTGCACAAAAATTTGAGAGACAGACAAAAATTTGAGAGACAGAGAGAGAATACATGCTGGCTCACTTTAGAATAGAATCATTATTTTGTTGGTTATTGAGTTCTGCAGCCCCCTTTCCTCCTACCTATTGAGAAACTTCTTTACCTGTATCTTTTTTCTTTCTACTTTGACCTTGTTTTTTCCCTCCTTCCAACTGTATTTTCTCTGATCTTTTCTTCCAGGTCTCCAACTTAGACCTAACTTAGATCTAAACTCTTCTTATTTCTCAGATAATTCCAAGAGCTTTACACATGCCCTGTACCCCCCTTTCCTCAGGGACCTCACCAACGACTCTTTTCCAGATCTTTCCTCTACCTTACGAGTGACATGGTTTCTGTTTCCATTGAATCTTTGTTTTTTGTTTTGTTTTGTTTTGCAGATAGAACTGTGGAACATCTCTTTATAAGAGCTCAAATAAAATTTTACTTTTAATTATTTGTTAAATCAAAATTGGTTCTGATCATTAATAGGCCCAAGTGAAGTCATTGAGCAAAAGTGACCAGAGTCCAACAGTAGGCACCTGTAGAAGCCACACTGCACCCAGGCATACACATAGAGGAACTTTTTAAAAGTGCGCTCCCAGGAAATAAGGACAAGACCGAAGCCAGACCCACCCTACTGCATGGCTGGTACATACATTCACTAAAGGCAGAGCTTTAACCTACAGTCACTTCATCCTTACTTTACACCTGTGAGGATTGCCCGTATGCACCTCTGCTCACCCCTGTCTTCTCAGGCAAGCTAGAAAAGGAAAGCTGCCCTTGAAAATTGCTCTCTTCCTCACATATTCTAGTTGATATATTTATAAATATACTTTGAAATCGCTTTCAAACCATTTGGCTTTCTACTTTGTATAAGCTTAGGCTCATTAAAGTCATTAGTTTATTAAAACTCAACTCAGAAGTTTAATACCAAAGCTAAAATGGAATTTGGTCTGTCCATTAATGGACTAAATGTCCCATTAGCTAACTAGTAATCAGATTGAGGCGCCAGCAGGCTAAGAGCCTGGTTTCATCCCTAGTTGGAGGTCAAAGAGCTTTGTGCAGCCTTCTCAGTCTTCCATGCTACCTTCCATGGACCACAGCTTGTGTTCCAGTCAGATCGCCCTGAGCAACACACAGGCTTCCTTCTTTTGTGCCTTGTGTGCTTTCTGACCCTCGTTAGCAGAGACTCATCAAGATGTAAAACAGTAGCAGCAAAGTAAGTGGAGTGTGCAGTGTGGTAGTGAATGCAGGTGCATCCTGTCTCAACTGCTCAAAGCTACAAATCAGAGAAAATGCAGGCAGAAGTGTGTCTGCAACACAGAACATACAGCATCTCCTGATCGCTTCCCGTTGGCTGAGGGAGGATATCAAGTGCGCTCCGGACAACAACCTGTGTTCTTACATGGAGACAGCGAGCCTCTATCTGAAAGTTGCCTTATCTGTGGCTTTGGAGGTGGCTCTCAGTCCTTCATCAGAGTTCCAGAGCAGCCCCTGTTCTTGCTTAGGGAACTTGAAATGAGTATTTCTTTGCAGATAAGTTAAACAGCTGGGAACATACAGAATTTTTGTTAGGTTGATTAGGTTGTGTGTGTTTTTTAATCGAATGCTCTATCAGGATAAGTGTGGCATCCAGAACTGAAGGTCATCCTATTAGGTGCCCTGATTAAATTGTTTCCCTATCAATCTATAAAGGAAAATACACAGAAACTTTTTCTGACTTTTTAACAAGCCCAACCTTCCTGTTGCTATTTCTAACTTTCAATATTTATCCAGATTAATTGTAATGCTTGCCTTACTGCTCCTTTTGTGGGCTAATGTTTAAATGAAAACTTTCTCTACTGTCTATTAATAAAATGTCTTGGGTGACTTCCAAGATGCCTCTACCATATAAAATCCCATGCTATCAATATTTTGACAGTTTTAGAGTGAATTTTGTATGAATTAAATGGAAAGGCACTGGAAATAGAGTATAGGTTTTGAAAATGCAAGTCATTAACAAAATATTTGAGATGATGGTCAAATTAGGAACAAATTCGTTTCATTCACCAAACTTTTAGATTAAGGATGAATCTTTTGAGTGTAGAATTTCAGGAAGCACATTTGGGTGTAAGATTATATACAACAGTATTGAGTTAGGGGTCTTCTTTTTCTATTAACTATTTCAAATTAAGTGAAGCTGTTACAAGCTGAGTCTTGCATATAAAACCATCTGAGAAAGTATTATCATATGGTTTCCTTTCTAAAAAGAAAATCAGAAAATGGCCTTTAGTCTTAGCTACTTTGCTGCTGCCAAAAAATAAATAAATAGAAGAAAAAGAAGAAAGGAAAAGACCCACCATCATGGCAGGAACGTTAGCCACAGGACTATCTTTTCTCTGTGCCATTTTCAAAATGCCTTTCCTGTTATAGCCATCTTTTAACTCTTTATTGTAACCTGGCAACTTACTTTATAGATTTCTGGATCCTTTTCCTCTTCTCCTTTCTCCCCGCTTCCAATTGACTTTTGTCCTTGATTTTCCCACCAGTTTTTAGTTCTTTTAGAATATGAGCATAAAAAAATAAAATAGGAAAATCAAATTGATTCTTTTTTCCCTTGGATGCAGAATGTGGTCAAGATGGGGATAATAGCTATTGACTAAAATGAGCTTTGGCCAGCCACAGTGCCTTGTATTGTCCTTGTCTATCTGTATATCCCTGCTTCTCCACTGAGACTATTAAGTCCTTGATGGTAATAACCATGTGTTTCCATTTCTTTTTCCCAGTAGAAAGTTCAACGTTTGATATAGAGAAGAAACTATTTGTTGAATGCAGTGAATGAATGAAAGAAACGACAGAAATGGCAGCACATATTGTTACCTCACTCTCTCCCAGTAATTACTCAAGGAGCTACTTCCTGTGTAACTACTCAAGAAGGGTCAGAAGTGGTAGTTTTTAACACATATGTAAATTCTTGGGCACTTGTATAAACCATTATTCTCTCTCTCTCTCTCTCTCTCTCTCTCTCTTTTTTAACAGAACTCTATCAACTGTCAAGCAAGGAATTTAGGAAGCAACATTCTATAGATACCACCCTGTTTGGTTTGGTTTGGTTTTTAGGTTAGGGGGTCAAGAATGGAACGCTATAATTTTGTGGGTTTTTTTCCACCCAAGGATAATCTAATGCAAAGATAGTCAAATAACAGCTCCTGCCCGGAAGACAAATAGAGTGTGAACTGGATGAGGGAAATGGGAGCGCCCATGCAGCTGTGTCAGGGAGGGGTCTGGTGTTCATTACAACATCAAATGGAATATCTATGTTTCTGCTGGGTTTAATGAAGCCAACGACAGCCCACTCTTAGTTGAGCGATATTGGAGATTTTTGGCTTTTAACTTGATGTATTTTAATTTGTGCTTACTAGCTCTCCCACATCCGGTACTCACTGGCATTTTAGTTAGTTAAGTGTTCCTCCGTGTTAGCCACAGAGTCGAGAAAAAAAAAAATATAAGGAGAATCAATAAGACCAAGGCAGTTTAGGAAGAGCAAATTAACCTCCATCAAGAGCACTGGCCAGCTCATCAAGCACCTGGTCTAAGAGGAAGCAGGTCCACCCTGTGCTTCTTTAATGTATAAATGGTTCCCCTCTGAATGGTGATTAACTTGCTGTGGTGTTTCTTAGTTTTCAGGACTTTATCTCCTGTCCTTCTTCACCATCCTCATCGGGCTGGTGCTCTACTCCTCCACCTCCACGTACATAGCCCAGGACCCCCGGGTGTACAAGCAGTTCCGCAATCCTTCGGGACCTGTCGTGGACTTACCGGCCACAGCTCAGGTGGAGCCTTCGGTCACCTACACCAGCCTGGGCCAGGAGACCGAAGAGGAGCCCCACGTCCGTGTGGCCTAGGATGAGGCCCTCCCCCACCCACTGAGCACAACTCAGTGGCCACGTGTTCGCCCATCATCTCTGTATTGTACATAGAGAAAGGTATTTATTAGGTGCAGTTTACACGGGTGGACTGCAAGGTAGCAAATCCAAAAGCCTGTAAGAGGCACAAGCTAAACATCACTGGAGACAGGCTCTGACCCACCTGACTTGGAGAGATGCCCCGCTTGTGTGTATCCTGATCACAGCGCCCCTGCATTCATTACTGTGAACATTTTTGGATCAGAAGCAACTGTTGTTATTATCACTTGGATTATTATTGTTGCTCTTATGACACCTAGTTTCAGGAGGCTGTTTTGTACTCTTGAGGGGAACTATTGCCAGACCGCCCACGTGTAGTTTACATAAATCCCACTTTTCTATAGCAAGTCACTTTTTAAGAATCATACTTTATTTTTTGTGCACAGTCTATGAGTGCCGCCGGCCGCAGGAGCCCCACCCTGAGAAGTTTCCCTGTCCTGGGGACCTGGCGGCTCAAGGTTTCCTCTGTGACCTTTGGATTGTCTGCTCAATAAGCATTTCTTGCTGTGACCCTTGTGGGGAGGGGCAACTGACCATATACTTCTCTATTCTAGGAATAGATATAAACAAACATGTTAGCCTTTTTATATTTTGACCTCTGATTACTCCCGGCCATTGTCTTTCTGTTGTGCCACCTTAGATAATGCCAATCAAGTCTCTGAAATAACGGGATAGGAATGTTCCATTTCTGTGGCTGATGGGAAACCCCGGGAGTAATATAAATGTATGTTTAGGGGAATATATATTTTTTAAAATCCTGCTGCCTCTTCCTATATCCTCTCTTCAAAAAATAGGTTTGCTTTTCTTTTTTCCCCTAGATTATCTTTAGTGATATGGAAATTAATCAAAGTGTTGGCAAAAGCCATGGTCCCCTGTCCTTTTAATGTGTGACATCCCTTCTGATGCACAGGCATGCAGTTACCTTTATTGTGGCCTCCAGACAAGGTCAAGGTGCTGATATGGAGCAGTCTCTGACAAAGCTCGACTGATCTGGCCACTTTGTGGTGGTAAAGATGTCACCCATGAGAAAGTCTGGCATGTTGGTCATATTTGGCATCCAGTCATTAACGGAATATATCAACGTAACATTCTTATGGAGACAGAGAATATTACAAGGTCCTATAAGGCTCTGAGGGATGTGTCCCTACTCTAATTCTGTTAAAAGGGCCCCTATTTCCAAACACAGAAAATAAGAAACACCGCACATCTCTACGATTTAGAAATAGATTCTATGTGTCAGTATGGGAAATGGTCTTTACGTCTGGCTGGCTTCACTAGCATTCAAAAAGATCCTCGATCAAGTTACAGGGTTTGTAAAGGAAAAGTAAATGCTTATAAAACTTTGGGCAATTAAAATCAATGAATCTTAAGCAAGTAAAGCAAAACACCAGAGGGGTCTCTGTACAGCAGAAGGACAGATTGCAGCTTAGTCGGGGTTCCTATATAGCCTGAGCAAGACCTCCTTGTGAAGGCAAAAGCACCCCATGCTGTCAGTCAGCACCCACGTGGCCCCTCTGCCTGCCTTCTACTCTGGGCGTGGGTAGTCCCGCCCTTGCAAATGGAGAAGAAAAAGTACCTTTTCTGATATGCAGATCTTATGCTCATCTGTGCTCAGCCCCTTTAGAAACATGTTTTATTTTCTCTGGGGGGAAAAAACCAACAATGTGAAAGCTACGTCAAGTCAAAACAGCTTTGCCAATGTCTGCTTTCTGCTACCTTTAAAACCAGTTAAATACCTTTCTCTCAATATTTCATCCATTCAGATCTGAAGACCTTTAAAGACTGTGGTTTTATTTTTGTGTTTACATTCCTTTGGTTTGCATACTTTGCTTGATTTATTGCATTTTTAGTATTTATTTTAAGCCAAATGTTTTAGCCTTTTTAAATTCATTTTTTGTGACACTAATTTGTAGATGCTTAGTAAAACCTTAGGAGAAATAAGTGGCTGAAAGTTCTCCTAGTCGACTCAGTGGACTGGGAATCTTTTTTAAAATTTAAATTTCACAAAGGTTGGCAATCAGTGGATGGCTGAAAGTTGCCATCTGAATTATTTTCTAGGACATTTCAATTGACTCCACTGTATGAAAACCAAGTGTGAATGTTAAGGTGAATTCACTGTATACCCTTTATTATCCAGTGTCTTTATACACAAGACTTTCATGCCTCGGGGGAACCTCACGGTGTTGGTTTGTCTCCATTTAGAAAGGCTGATAACACTGAATTATCTGAGATCCGGGAGTTCCCATCAACTCTTCGGAACAAAAAAAGATAGCAGGAAACACACATTTTTTTTCTGTACAAAAACATCGATCCTTTGGGAGTGGGGTGGGACATGGGTGTAGGACATTAACTCTAGCTGTTTTCATTTCTGAAATGTCATAACTTCAGTAGACACCAGCAACAAGTTCAGCTTTTCAATGCATCACCCCACCCTCCTCCATGAATGAGACTAGCAGTTTGTATAGCATTTGATTGGACAAGCAAACCACAGCTTTCCTGAACCCCACACAGAGACGAGTGGAGGTTCTCACTGCCTCAATGGAAACTTGCACTGGGGACGGAGCTTGCCTTGGTCACGCCTTCTCACATCTTCAAACTCTGAAATTCACAACCGGGTAGGCCAAGCAGTAGAAAACTTCGCACCACTGTGTCCCATGAAAATGTTCCTATGTTTAGTTTAGATATTGCTAACGTGTGCTATTAACCTTTTGAGAAGCGTGTAGTATTGTTTGTTTTGCGTTTGTTATGATTTATAACCACTTAGTAGTCCCCAGCTAGCTACCAGTACAGACTTTACCCCATGGGTAGGATTCTATTGTCAAGCCACATAACAAAGCACACTAACCCAGACACTGCAAATGGAAAATATGAACCAAAAAAAAAAAAAAAAGACAGAAAAAAAGAAATTGACACCTATACGTTGAGCAAACTCTCCATTTTTGATATTTGCATGCTCCCCTACGGACTGGCTGTGGCAATGTAATGCCTGTATAATGTTTTCAAATAAAAATAAATGCTTTATGAAAGCTCGGAGCTCTTGGTTTTCTTGAGTGTTTGTCTGCACCATGACGACCCTGGAAGCAGCTCCCGTGGGAGGCCAGAAATAGCACGAAAGTCGATAGCAGGGAACATGTCAAAATAAAAACCAGAAAGAAAATATTTCCAAATTAGGAAGGGCACCGTTGTCCTCAGCGCTGTACTTTCAAAGAGCCAAATTGAACATGTTTGTGATCTGCAAAATTAATTACTTATCTGGATGCTTACGAAGGCTCTGGGGCTGCAGTCTCTAGGCCCACATTTAAAACGCTCGTAGAACAATACAGTTTACCCCCAAGAAACAGTTCCTCATCGACAGGAAAGTTGTGAGTGTGCTGCCCGTGGCACAGTGCCAGGCTGAAAGGGTGAGCATTCTTCCAGGGCAGGACACTTGCACAGCAGGTCTGCTGGGGTTCCTGCTCAGAACTCACCCGCTAGCATCCCCCTCCCCCGCCAAGTGGAGTTGCCCAGCAACCCCTTAAGTACTTGGAGGTGATTGTATATCAATTTCATGTTCTTGCTCTTCTTGTTCACAATGAGACTTCAAAAATTAGGTGAGCCCAAAAGACTGTGTGTCCACGTTACATTTTTAAAATATTTTTAAAAGAAATGCATTCATTATTCAGGACAAAAGGAACAGCAGCACACGGATCCTTTATAAAGTGTTCTTAAGTTGAGATCCATCATGATCTGCTTTTATAAATAGTTAGAACAGTATGTACTTCATAGAAATAATTTGCTTGAAAACATGTGACTCACGGGGTAAAGTTTTTCCTTGAAAATGTAAATGTTTCTCTAAATTACTGCTTTTTGTTTTTGTAGTAAACTCTCGGATCAAAGACGAAATACAGTTGAACTTCCACTCAGTCTGTGTTCAAATGCCCAGCAATCCTAAATGATCGGGGTCCCAGTGGTACACATAATAAATGTGTAAGTCGTGTTTAGCCTGTTTCCCAGTGAATTATCATTTTCTTAAGAGAAAGAACTGGGTTTCCTAAACGCTTGGAAGCTCTTGCAGAGGTAAGATAAGGCAGCACTGGAATGATTTGTGTGGCTATTACCATGAAAGAAAAGGAGAAACGAGTAAAATTCAGCAGGAGAGTTGTAATTTACTGTGTTGCCTTGATGCTCCATAGGAAAGCAAACGGCAATGTCTGAAATAACAGGAACTGGCATCGGATCCATCTTCAGCGCCTAGAAAAAGTACCATGCACATGGAAGGCACTCATACATCTTGTTTTCAATGTACTCTAACTTCTGAATCAGAAACACAACGTGGGAGGGTATTCTATTACAAAAGGGTCCCTTCTTCCTCCTCCTCCTCTCAAGTACCTTTTCTGTACTTGGAAAGGAAGAAATCATTGGTTTCACTTCAATGCACGCTTGAATTTTTTACAAACCCTTAATATGTTTGGCCATTCTGGTTGGCCTTGGGATATGAAAAAAAGTTATTCTTTTTACTTGTGAATTGTGTTTCTGATTTTATTAAATTACTTCTTAATTATGTACACTGATCTTCCTTTTTCCTTTCTGCCATTTTTCTTTGATTTGCTTTTCCTTTTTGTCTCTTTTCTTTCTGCAAGCATAGATAGAGGGCTCACTAAGGGCCACCTAGACAGTATCTCTGCCCTTGATTCTCTATGTGGACAAAAATGTTTAATCCAGAAAGTATAATACAGCTGGAAAGCCCACACCTACCAGATGGCCTTTCATTAGTGCCTGACAGGCCATTGTGCGCTACTTTTCAGACAGCGGACAAGTTGCCTCCAAACACTACTGAAGCCTGATTAACAAGGAGAACTAATGATCAGAGAGAGGAGATCTCTGGGAATAGACTAAAATTGGGGGCTTTCATCTGGATAGACAAAGGCTTGGTGTGAATAAGACTAAACCTATAAAAGCATGAAAACGAGTTTGTTCACCGGGTCCAGCATTAGAGCTGGGAGTTATCCCATAATGCTTGGGGGATAATTTCAGGATAGATAAATATTATTTTACACAATGGGGAGTGTTCTTCCTGAACTTATTACCGCATTTTAGCACTGACTAAAAATGTGTTAGGTCACCTAATAGGTGGGAGAGCTACAGTGGAACATTAGGTGAGCTGTGTAATCCTTATCTAATCTCTTAACACTTTTAGAATGAAAGCAGGCATTACTAATAATTATGTCTGGACAACAGGTAGAGACCCAGGCTATCACAGGCGAACCTGGAAGTGTGGTCACCCTGCCTTTAAAAGATACTCCTGCACGCCCCCTCACCATGGGAAATTGGTAGCACAATGGAAGCCATGTCTTCCTGCCACTAGATGTCGCTGTCTGAGGTAAAACATCTGGGTCAAGAGGACCATAAACTGTTGTTACTGGATTCTTATTCGTGGAGGGCAGACCCCAGCTGAGTTCCCATCTTACTGCTCAGACCTTCTCCTTGGAAACATCTGTAGCCAGGAGTGGTAGAAAAGTGAGCAGACTTCCAATGGTAAAATCTTGAACATCTTCACCATTGTTTCATTGCTAAATGTGTAAAAAAGTAAGAGCAACAGAGAAATGTGTGGCTAAAATAAAGGAGGCATTACTGGTTGAATTATTCAGAAGTAAATTACTTGAGAAGTCAACATACACATTTCAAGAAATGCTGAATGACAAGTAAATGCATTTATGAATGAATGCATATTCCTCATGGGAGGAAGAAGTAGACTCCTAAGTTCAAAGAGCAGATGCCTTGTGGCCGAGGATGAAAACCATTCTGCAGTTCTGCACCTACCTTTTCCTCTAACACTGTCCACTAATGCCAATTCTGGGATTTGGGGCTCAAAGGTTGAAACATGGGGTCATACCTAGGTTTGTGCAGGGTTGGATCTTATTCGTGCCTTTCTTGGCCTTGGCAGTGGGATTCTTTTTGTGCTACTCGAAGAGGTTTGACAAATTTTAAGTAATAGTAAATAATCACAGTTTTACAGATGGTTGGCCACCTGCCAATTTCACAGCAAACTAAAAAAGCAATAACGAAAATCTACTTGTTCTTAAAATGACTACTTTACTAAATGAAATTACTAAAGAGAGAGGAAAGCGGCTAATCACTGGAATAATCAAAATAGTCTCATTATGGGACTCCCTGTGAGCTTTTGTTTGAATTCTCTAATGTAGTTTTTGGCATTAAATAGGATTTTAAAAGCTAAATAGGTCACACATGCATATGAATGCTTGAGTGAATCACATAACCTCTTTATGTGCCCCAGGACTCTGCCCATCAGGCTGCATTTTAATTAAAAGGAAAACTGTCAGGAGAGGACAACTTAATGTGGAGAGTTTGGTGTCAGAGTTTTCAATTTATAATCATGACTTCCAAACAACAATGAAGTTCATTTTCATTTCTGTCATAACCTTAGTCATTTCCGTCATAACCTTAGACACAGAATTGGAGAGCTGCAGGGAACATTGGAGATCATTTCACTCAAAATCTGAAGTCGTTTTATGACATGTAAGTGTGGAGATGTTTAGTGGAAGGCAATATGTTTTGCCTGGAGAAGCAGTAGCTTTGGGATGACACACAGTGTGTGGTTCCCCAGTTAAAGAAGCTGCTCTGTGATCGCTGGAACCCAGTCAGAGAGCTGGTGCACACCCTTCCCACTTAAGGGGCTGGGCAGCTTGGTAGGCGGCTTGGTTAAGGGGTCCTTAGGAGGATCCCAATTTCCAACCTACTTTGAAAGTGGAATTCCAAAGAGAAAAGGAAGGAGAAGCACCTGGTATGTATCCAAGGAACTGCCTTTGCCTTTCTGGATTGAGTCCATCAGGCACATTTGCCAACAGGAAATTGTCCCTCTGCTCCTCTTATTCAACACGCAAGTGTAAGAGGGATCTTGGGACCAGCATTGCCCATGAGACTCCTAGATCCAGATAAACTGCTAACAGTTGCAATGACCCATCTGTAGCTGCTTGCCCAAGGACTGAGAATTCACTGTCTGCATGGGGAGATGTCCTATTTCCAGATGCCCACTAGCTGTCCCTCCTATATCCTCCAATGACCGATGGCAGGGCAGCGTCCCTGGTGAGGCTGCAGCCCGTGGGAAACAAGTCACCTGCCACGGAATGAACGTCACTCTGAGGTGACGGAGCTTCTGTGTTCCTCCTGACTGTTGGGACAACATGAACCACTCAGTCAAGTGGCCCTTGTGATGCAAGGATGTGGGGGGTGGGGGAGTCATCAAGTCAGAGGTGATACTGAAGCTGGAATTTTAAAAGCAAAATGTGCTCCTGCTTTCCCTGAGGAATGGATGCTGCTGTTCATTCTAGGGTTCTGGGGGGCCACCGCCCCCTACTGCTGGGTTAGTGGGGGTATTTTTCAGTGAAAGTGCTCTCTAATTCTGTATTGTTTGATTGAATATATTAGTTCTGTTTGTAATTCAATCTCCTGTTCTTGATTCTTGGCATTGTAAAGAAATATGGACTAAGCGATTTTATTATTTGCATTATTGTGATAAAGTAGAATATCTTCTTCAGGGTACAGCACAATTCCTGCCTGTTTCCAATGAGAATGCACTAGCATCGGCTTTTTGGCATCGTATTATTTCTGTCTACCCCTCTGAGATGACTCACCCCGCTTCACAGCAGCATTCCACATTTGCTGCATCTTCTCTGCCTGGAGTTTCTACTTCACTAGTTCATTCTTGATGGCTGATTTCTTTGAGCATTTCAGGGAAATGGTTTACTTTAGAACTTAACTACATTTGAGCTTTTGTCTTTAAAGCCATTTAAGAAAAGGGGAAAACTCTACTGCGCATGAATGATCATCTCTCAGATACTGTCTCTAGGCTGTATGCATATTTGTTTTAGAAAATAGAAGTAGATTTT